TATCTTTTGTGATCTTTAACTTGTTAAATTATGCAGATAGAGCAAAAAACCTTAAAACAATTTTGTTAAGGGATAAATTGCCTAACAAATTATGAATTAATCATATTTTTATTGCTAATCGTTTAAATAATATAATTACTGTGTTTGGTGTTCATTTGACTGGAGTTCCGTTGAATATAAATGTATTCTTTATTATTATGTAAAAAATCAAAATTCTTTTTGTTTATATTATTTTAAATTGTTTCCGTTATATACTAAACAGTTTAATAGACTTTTCGTCAAGATTCTACTTATTTTTTTTAGTTTTCATGCCGAATTTCTTGTTTTTATTTTATACTATTTTATTAATCTGTTCGAAAAATAACTTTTTTTCGGTCAAAGCATATAAGATTTTTTATAATAATGAATTAAGGTGCTTGAATAATAATAAAATTTATTCGATTACATTTATTTTCTTTATTTTTATCCTTACAGTATTTCAAATTGTTTACACGGTTTTTATTTTATATTTGATGTTTTCTTCTTTTTTTCAAAGGAGAAATTTGTGAAGTACTGGCTCATCAACGTTAGAAGTCCGAGAGACTTCCACCATTTCTTCGACTGCATGATCTTCCATTTGATCTTCTTCTTCTTCTTCTGAATCAGTATCCTCTAATCCAAAGATTGATCATTTCGGAGCCTATATGGAACATACCCACACACTTTCTCTTTTATATATATATAGATTATTAAAAATTTAATTTGTTATTTTTATAAGTTAATTATAATTAAAAATTGTCAAAAATATATATATATACTAGCGGACCCGACAGACGTTGTCATGTACACACGTCTTAAATTTAGAAATTTTAGGAATGAGCTTGTATAGTTAAAAACGTCATTAGTTAACAATATGTAATGGGCATTCTTCAATAATTAACATTTTCGTAAATATAAGCCCATTCTGATTTTGTACTCATCAATAGCTTTCATTTGAGTACCCACATGCATTTTTGATATATTTTATATATTTATATATTTCACAAATAACATATATATAAAATATATAAAAAATGTTATGTGGGTACTCAAATGAAAGAACTCGATGAGTGTAACATCGGGATGAGCTTATATCTTTCAAAACTTCAATAATTAAGAAATGACATTGTATCTTGTCAAATAATGAGATTTTTAAAGATATAAGCTCATCCCGATGTTACACTCATCAAGACCTTTCATTTGAGTACCAATTGGTAGTATTGGTACGTAAACGTAACCCTACGATTCGTGCTAAAAATATTGCCCTTGTCTCATAATACCTAGTTATCTTAGAGTATCCTAACTACAAGGAAAAAAAAAATAGGAGCTGCCACACGATACATTCCTGTGACATCAACATGATTTTTTCATGCTGCCACTTGAATTGTGTGACTTTATTAATTAAATTCTAATAAATATATGTCGATAGATAATTTTTAAATATAAATAAAATTTGATCAAACAATGAAAAATATCATATTAAATATAAAATATAAATTTATTAATCATTAAAAAATTATTCATCAAATGTTAAAAAGTGATTTATTAAATATTAATAAATCATTTTTTAAATGGAAAGAAATCGTTTATCAAATATTAAGAAATCATTTATTAGATGCTACGAAATATTTATTATACGCAAAAAAATGATGTTTAAGAAACGATTTATTAATTTTTAACAAATATTTCTTAAATAAGGTTCGTTATGAATTTTTTTTTTTTAAATATTAACAAATCTTTTTTAATGCTAAGAAATCTTTGTATCAGTGTCGGTAAGACGAACCCATAAAGATTTATTTTCACGCTATAAAGACTTCTTAGTTGATCAAATAAAATAAAATTTTTTTATATTTAATGGGAAAAAATGCATTATCCATTTAACAATATTTAATCTTCAAGGTAACATGCCTAAAAAGAACTGATGTTTTTGTTGATTAATATTTATTGATGGTAGTAAGAAAATGACTCAGAATATTTTTACTGAACGATAAAGAATTTAACAACTTTCCGTAAGCATAGAAGTTATAGCCAGAATTATCAATGTCACCTTGTGAGTAATCAAATCTCGAAATAAGTAACTCGTAGCTTCCGTTTGAAACTGGTTAAGAAAAACCTACTATTAATATTTTAACTTTCCTATTATTTAAAATTCATTGTTACGTTGAAGTTATTTGGTATCGAAATCATTGAAGATTTATCGAATTATCGAAAAAAATTTTAATTTCTAGCGCGTTATGAACATAATTAACTTCGGCAAATTATACCCCCCGGCTAATAATTTTCTAAATATTTAAAAACACATATCTTTGAAGTGCATAAAAATTCTTTGCACGCGTTAAGGGGAAAATTTAAAGGTCGCGACACAATAATAACTATATGAGCGTCGCGATAATAATAATATTGACCGTCACGATAATAATAATATGAGCGTTAGAATAAAGGATGTATTGATGATGCCAACTCTTTCCGTCAAGTTGGCTTCAAATTGCGGCAGTCGATTGAGGGCAAGTTACAGTTAAGGTGGCTATATCAGGGAATGCTCGTCCATTGTTCGTGATCTGACCATCGTCAAAATTGATGGTCATATTAACATCTGTCGACAATGTTCGCCTCAGACTGACTCTAAATTCGTCAACAGATCTATGTTAGTTTGCGACAAAATAATTACCTCGTTGACTTCCCTGATAACCACCTTAACTCAAACTTTTATTCAATCTACTGCCGAAATTTGTAGCCAACTTGATGGAAAGTGTTTGCAAACCAAACGGTTTTAGTTAAGTTATCTTTAAGTTATTACTCTGCAATTTGATGTCGAGACTTGCAGTGCAAGTATTTTAATCAAGTTGCAGTAAAGTTGAAAGGAAATTTAACCAAAAATTTGGTGTTAACTAGTGTTCAAATTGTGGACATAGATTTTCGTCAATTTGTTTACAACTGTTGTACTGTAAAGAATGATCGCAAACTTGATGTTAAGTTAACTGTAACTGCTGAAATCCAACTACTTTTAAAAAAGGCGTGACTATCATACTCATACTTGCTGTCAACTTGGTGACAAGTTGCGGCAGTAGATTAACAGCAAGTACCCTGATAGCCAAACCGGTCGCAACTTTCCGTTGATTTGCTGCAGCAACTTGTCACCAAGTTGGCGGCAAGTCTTGGAAATGAACTCGGTTGTTCACCAAGTTGTCGCCAAGTTGTCGGCAGAAATTGTTTTCGAAACTCTTTCGTACCAAGTTGACGACAACCCTGATAGGTATTCAAGTTGCGGCCGTAGATTTCCGTCAATTTGCTTACAACTGTTGTTGAGTGAAGAATTACCGCCAACTTGATGTATAAATTAACCGTAACTGCTGGAAGTCAACGTTTACTGAGAAAGCGCTGGCTATCAGGGTTGTCGTCAACTTGGTACGAAAGAGTTTCGAAAACAATTTCTGCCGACAACTTGGCGACAACTTGGTGTTCAACCGAGTTCATTTCCAATACTTGCCGCCAACTTGGTGACAAGTTCCCTGATAGCCAGCGCTTTCTCAGTAAGCGTTGACTTCCAGCAGTTACGGTTAATTTATACATCAAGTTGGTGGTAATTCTTCACTCAACAACAGTTGTAAGCAAATTGACGGAAATCTATGGCCGCAACTTGAATACAAGTTAGCAATCAAACTTGTAGTTAAATTTCCTTTCAACTTTACTACAATTTGACGGAAATACTTGTACAGCAAGTTTTGACGTCTATTTGGAGAGTAAGTTATAGGTAACTAATAGGTAATCGCTCGCTTTGCCAACTCTTTCCGTCAAGTTTGCTTCAAATTGCGGACGTAGATTGACAGTAAGTTATAGGTAAGGTGGCTATCAGGGAAGTTTCTCGAGAAATTTGGCGACATATTGCGGCAGTAGATTGGTCTTGTTTTTCTCAGACAACTTGTAGCCAACTTGTAGCCAACTTGACGCCAACAGTTTCAAATTCGGAAGTTGACCGCAAGTTGTCGGTAAGTTGGTGGCAACTATCTGACACCAACTTGGTTGGTCTGAAACTGTAGCTATCAGGGTATGAACCCCAGCAAGTTGTGATCAACTTGACTATATCGTCAGAGATGCGTTACGAGAGATACTATTGATCGGTAAGAATGTACTCGTATGGTAATATCTCAAGTCAATAATTTTTTCAAATGAGTTGAGAAAATTGACGCATACAACTTAAAGTCGCTCAAATCACAACAATCAGTTTTTTTCTGTGTTGTTCATCATAATCAGCTGACCTCATAATCGTAAAATAATAACAAATAATAATAATAAGCACAATACACTTGTTGGAGTAGAAATAACTTCTGGGGCCAATTAGCCTCGCTCAGCTGTGGAGTTACCAGTGTGTAATCATGGCCTGTACCCTAAAAACAACTAAATTTGGTATTTACTGTCATTTTTAATTACTATTTACTTATATTGTATATAAACAATATTTTACTTTTATGCATAAAATTTTATTCAATATTTAACTAAAATCTGTCAAATATATCATCATAATGTTATTATATTACAAATTACCCTCTAGTTGCTATTTAAAATCATAAATTCATTATTTTATTAATCATAACATATTGATTTCATCCAACATTATGTAACAGTTCAAAGTACACTCAAAGATTTTATGCAACATTACTTGGATTCTATAAATTTTTCTTTAAAATCAGCCATTTAATTGAAAATGTTTGATATTTAAAAATTTCAAATATCTAATTTATTTTTTCTATTTACAGTTAAACAAATCCAACAACTGTCTAAAAGATCATTTTCTGAATCATCATTTCCTAAAATAACGACTCATTACTCAGTGGTACCTCGAGAAAACGATCCAAGATGGAAAGGTAATTAAATTTCAAATAATTATTAATTAATATGATGTACAAAATAAAATGATTCGCAGACGTAAATATGGAGAGATACGTCGACGAAACGGACATTCTGATTGTTGGCGGAGGACCTGCTGGACTTTCGGCAGCAATTAGAGCTAAAAAACTAGCGGAGGAATCCGGACGTGATTTACGTGTCACATTAATTGAGAAAGCAGGTACCGTAGGCAGTCATATACTCAGTGGAGCTTGCATTGATCCAGTCGCCTTGAATGAATTAATTCCCAACTGGCAAGAACTCGGTGCGCCTCTAAAAACACCAGTTACTGAGGATAAATTTGCATTGTTGACGGAAAAGGGTCGCATACCGATCCCCATTGTCAAAGGAATGCCTATGTACAATCACGGAAACTATATTGTCAGGTACTGTTGATGATTAAACTTTATTAGCTATATAATACACCCAATCAATACTGAATCGCTACGAAGAAAAATTAGAAATTAAGTCCTTTGAAAAATAACTAATGTCAATGTGATTATAATTTTTGCAATAATACCTGATCATATATAAATCATCAATAATATAAATAATTGTGAATATCAAATTACTTCAATTGAATACTAAAAACTAAATGGGAGGTAACATTTCAACTAATAACAATTAAATTCTTATAAATATCATGTACACCAGTCAGTAAATGAATCTGAAACGAAAAATACGTCAAAACTGTCTAACAAACAAAATGTAAAGAACCAAATAATACGATTACTCGAAAGAAAATTTATTTATTTTTTTGAAAATTTTATTTTTAACTTTCCGCCAAGAAAATTGAAAATTTTCAAAAGTTGGGAAGTTATTGGTTTCACTCCATTTTTCGAAAATCGATATTAACGTTTTCAACCGATGTTAACGTTTTGAGGTCGTAAGAGGCTTCCCCGAATGTATCCGCGATGTCCGGATGTGTGTGTGTGTGTGTATGTATGTAAATCTATCATAACTTTTGAACGGATCATCCGATTCGATCGAAATAGGCGGCGTTCTGAAGAGTTTTTTTGCCCCTAGAATTCTAATACTAATTTACAGAATTTGAGTCGATCAATTTTGAGAAATCTCAAAAATAAAATTTCCAAAAATTTGTTTTTTTGAAATATCTTTTAAACGGCTGAACCGATCAATTCCAAAAAACATTCAGCTCTTAACATCAAAAAACCATGTCGATCGCCACCAGTCCCGTCGACATCGGTTGAATCCGTGAGTTATCGTTATCGAAAAAAAAACCGAAAAAAGTGTGATTTCGGAATAACTTCGAAATTACTAGTTCGATCAATTGAAACTTAAAAATTCTTTATGAGACTCAAAAAACTGCGTCGAATGCCGCCAACCACGTGAAAATCGGTTCATTCATTCTAAAGTTATTGCAGTTTTAAAATTAAAAAAATAGTGTTTTATTAAACTTTGATCAGATTTTTGAGCTCGGAAAGCTTAAGGGTCAACAGGTTTCCTAATTTTTTATTAATTGACTTTTGTTCGTGAGATTATTAATAGCTTAATTGTTTTAGGAGAGAATGGATTCTACAACTCAACTTTCAGTATTTAATTAAAATAATTTAATATTTGTAATTATTGAAATTTTTTTCTTAAGTATAATTTTTATTTTTGCCCAAAAATACATATCTTAAGTAATTTAGTTAAGAAGTACACTAAATAAAAAAGCCAAATCAGTAGTATTGGAAATTAATACCATGGATAGTCAATAACTATTATTATAGACGTAAAAAAATTAGAAAAACGGTAGACCCTGAAGGCCATCCCTGCAACTTCCCGTTAATTCTATACTTAGGTGCTAAAAATTGCACTAATGATGTTTTTGAGCTCTTCGAGCTCAAAAGTCTGATAGAAGTTTCATGGAACAATATTTTTTCAATTTTCAAACCGCAATAACTTTTGAATGAATCAACCGATTTTCACGCGGTCGGCGGCATTCGACGCTATTTTTTCAAGATTAACGGCGTATTAGTTTTTGGAGTTGATCGATGAACCCGTTTAAAAGTTATTCCAAAAAATCCACTTTCAAAAAAAATTTTTTTCTCAGTTTTTTTGAGATTTTTCAAAATTTCTCAAAATTTGTCGGTCCGAATCGGTTGAAATTCTCAGGAAATCTAAGTTTGAGGGAACTCTTTAGAACGCCGTTTGATAGGTTCCGATCGGTTTAGTCGTTCAAAAGTTATAAGCGATTCACATACTCTGACACACACACAGACATAGTGACAACATCGCAGGGGTAGTCAGGGAAGCTTCCAGTAACCTTAAAACGTCGAAATCTGATGAAAACTCGATTTTTGTAAAACGGGGTAAAAACAATAACTTCCCGATTTTTGAAAATCTTCGATTTTCTTAGCGGGAAGTTAAAAAATATTGTATTAAAAATACATCTTTTATTTCGAGAATTTTTGGTTTTTGGTTTTTAATAAATGACTGCTAGATTCAACCCTTCATCGGGCGCGGTTGCACGATTTTAGCCTATTAAGCACACCACTCTCTATCTCTTTACATTTTCTTAAGTTCATAAAGTGACATTTTTTCAGTATAAAAAAAATTTTAGCTCATCTTCAAATAGAAAATTAACTTATTAAGGTTCAATTACATTTTTAACATGCTAGGTACAACGTATAATTTTGAAAAATCATCACCAATCCAATAAAAAACAGAAATTTTAGAAAAAAGGGACGAAATAGTTCCTTTAAGGCAAAATGGGCCCTCCACAATTGTTTTTTTTTTTTTTTGTTTATCAATTAGTTGAATAAAACGGGAAAAACAATAAGATAGTTATTTTTCCCTTAATTGATTGAATTAATCAATTTTCTTATAGAGTGTGTTTGGCTGACCAGGCATATTCTGTGAGACCTATTTTTTAGTGTCAATTCCTTTATGTAGATCAATCTTTAACTATGGATTTTAATTAAATCCTTTTTTACGAAGTTTTAAGAAACATATTTACCTTTTTTTTTTTTTTTCATTATAATTTTGTTTGAAAAAAAAAACTTTAATTTCGGTCTGACGGTTTTTATTTCGATAAAAATATAAAAATACAATTTTTTCTCTTCGTACTTTCGCATACAATTATCTTCTAAAGACTTCAATAAAAATATGAATTTCATTATTCTACCGTAAAAATAGTTAGAACAATAATATTCTTTCCATCAAAGTAAAATGTAAGTCATAAAATACAACAAATTCAAAGATCACAAGAAAAAGAATAAACCTGAAGCGATATCTATAGTTTACTAGCATAAGTGTTATACCAATACTTCAATCATTCAACAGAATCAATAGCCCCACGAGACAAATCGCAAGTGCAAATAACCAGACTGTTACATATCCAAAAACTGATTTCTTAGTAGCAATAATTTAACTCAAAATACTAAATATAAAATTTCACCCTAATTGAATCCATATTTCCCTCTAACCTAATTATTGTAAATATCAATGGCTAATGTAAATATATTTTAAATTTAGATTAGGACACGTAGTATCGTGGTTGGGCGAGCAAGCAGAGGCAGCAGGTGTTGAATTATACGCTGGTTATGCAGGATCAGAAGTTATATATCACCAAGACGGCTCGGTGAAGGGTGTAGCGACTAATGACGTCGGCATAGCCAAAGATGGCTCACCAAAAGAGACATTCGAACGTGGGATGGAGCTTCACGCCAAATGCACTATCTTCGCCGAAGGCTGTCACGGGCACCTGACAAAACAGGTGTCGCAAAGATTAAATCTGCGATCAGATTGTGAGCCCCAGAGCTACGGTATCGGACTGAAAGAGGTAATCCGATTTAAAACCGAGCAAACAGTCTCATCCTGATCGGGTATTTATAAATCTAATCCTTTAATCAAGTGATAAACCAACTACCTAGGTCTCTGTATTATTTTACCACATTTGTCTTAGTTACCCAGATTGTTTTAGTTGTCTTGGTCAGATCGGTGTCTGCTAAATGCCGGTGATTGATGTGCTTTTAGGTATGGGAAATAAATCCAGAAAAACATCGTCCTGGCGCAGTTGAACACACAGTAGGTTGGCCGCTTGATAAAAACACCTACGGTGGCTCCTTTTTGTATCATTTAAAGGACGAGACGCCATTAGTGGCTGTTGGATTCGTTATTGGACTGGACTACACTAATCCATACTTGCATCCTTTCAAAGAATTTCAGAGATTCAAGCAGCATCCGGCTATCCGTCCAACGTTTGAGGGTGGAAAGAGGTAGTTAATTTATATTTGTCGTTAATTAAACGCATAGACCTAAATAATTTAATTAAGACACCACTAAAGGGCACTTAAAAACATAATAGGATAGCTTACGGTGCGCGAGCTCTAGTGGAAGGCGGTTTTCAGAGCATACCAAAGCTTCAATTCCCTGGCGGGTGTTTAGTTGGGTGCACTGCGGGATTTCTCAATGTACCCAAGATCAAGGGCGTACATAATGCCATGAAAAGCGGTATGCTTGCAGCTGAGAGCGCCGTTGAAGCGATAATTGAGGCAGAGACCACTACTCCAACGGCTCTCGGTCTCGAACTCAAGACTTACACGGATAAAATAAAAAACAGCTGGATTTGGAGTGAGCTTAAAGCTGTGAGGAATTTCCGACCTAGCTTTCACTCTAGTTTGGGATTGTATGGAGGTCTCATGTACGGAGGCTTCTCGATGCTAACAAGAGGCAAAGAACCCTGGACCCTCTCTCATGGCGGTCCTGATCACGCTAAGTTGAAGCCGGCGTCTCAGTCCACGCCAATTGAATATCCAAAGCCAGATAATCAAGTGTCCTTTGATTTACTTTCGTCTGTTGCACTCACTGGAACTAACCATGAGCCGGACCAACCACCTCATTTAACTCTTCGTGACGACACTGTACCAGTTAAAAATAACCTCAAGGTTTACGATGGACCTGAGGGACGTTTCTGCCCTGCTGGTGAGTAAAATGTTATATTCTTTTTTTTTTTATTACATTTTTTCCAACTTTATTAATCGTGGTGTATTTTCTCGGGTAGTTTTAGAAGACATTGACTTGACGATGTCATTTTCTCGACCATTCGACCTCTTTCGTCGTGTTCCTTTAGATCTTCCATTTAAATTCGTGCCCTCGAGCGTGATTTAAATTAGCACTTTAATGAGTTGTTTTTTCGCTAAAAAATAAAAAAATAAAGGTTAAAGTGACCTCACTAACTTGATAGCTGGAGATGGGGTTATGGAGATTTTTTAACGTCGGATCCAGCTCGTTTAGATTCGGTTAAAAAAATTGAAATGGAGTGAAGAGGTAAAATTTGATGACCAAGTTTTTTTACAATTTGATGATAAGTCGGATTTACGAGCACGAGAACGTCAATTAACGAGTATTCAAGAAAAGTCTTTTTTTTCTAGTCTTATTTAAAGAAAAAAAAAAATAAATAAAATGAAAAGTGAAAGAATGGTTTTACGAGACGTACATGAATTGAGTTGAGTAATTTTCCATTCGAGGAAAACTGTTTTACTTGAACAATCATTTATTTTTCGTAAGGGGTTGAAACCAAAGGAAACAAAAATTCTGGATGAAAGGGTAAAAAAGACAGACTGAGAAAGAGTTTTTTTGAGAGGGTGGGAAAGAGAAAGGGATACTAACCAGTCAGTTTTATCGTTCCCATTAATCACTCTGTCGATAGCCGTTTATTCGCGCGAATAGAATCACCGGTAGTCAGTCGATTGCTCGCGACAGTTCAAGGTATTATTCCAGAGACAGATTGTTCGACATTTACAATTGCTTCTCGTAAATCAATTGTTTTTAAAAATAAAATTATTTTAAGTTTCAATCGCTTATTCAACATTGTATTGTTTCATTTTTTAATTAAAATTATTTTTTTATGGGTTCACTTTTAAATAATAAAAGCTAGAAGTTTATTTTTATTTTTAAAACATTTTACTGTTATATAAAAATTAATTTTATTAACAAACAATTATTTTTTTAAATTTACAATGACTAAATTGAATTTCGTACGATCTCGCGAGAATCAATTCTCTTTATTTATTTTTATATTTATTATCACACAATACCCCGAGGAATTAACTTACAATATAGCGCTTGATAAAAATTTATAGATAACAAAAATATATAAATTTGAAAAGCAAATAAACAAAATTCATGCAAAAATAAATAAAACATTTGAATTTAAATTCACAAGAGGTCATGCATGCATTGCGGACAAATGAATAAACGTTATAACGTTATGTTACATAATTATGTAGTTAGCCTAAATCGTAAGTAGAGTATCAGGAAGATGTGACTTAGAAAATTACATTAAGAATGTATGAAAAAAAATAAAAGTTAAGCTTCAAACGTAAATAAGTAAATAAACTGTGAGAGTTTAAAAGGTGCGGAAAATCGTTAGGTAGATAAAGCTGCGTTATATTACTTTATGGTTAGTATCCGTATTGTTACACTTACCTTACATACTGTTTATCTTTTATATTTAAATTATAAAAGCCATACCAGAGAAACGAGACTTGCTCATTCGAAAGAGGAGACACCAAAGAAAAATCTCTCACCACATGTGTCTCTTTGTGTCTCATTATCACATGATGTGGGGAAAAAATGAAGAAAAATAATAGAAACCGAAAAAGGAAAAATGTCTCGAGTGTACGTTTGCACACACGGTTGCGAACAATAAAGGCGTGACATTTTGCAATTGCAAAGCTTTTCGAGTTGGATAAGACCACCGGAAGACTTGCAAACGAGCAAAATCCTCTTAATGTTTCAAAGTCTACAAGTTTCTCTTTGGGCTTTTGTAGCCCATACATACATATTACACATATTATAATATATTTATTTTACCTTAGGCCTTTATTAACCCTCATGTTCTACCTTTTAAATATGATAAAAGATCAAATCAACTTTTAAATAATCGCAGATTAGCATTAAAAAAATATTTTTTTCAGCATTTCACTCTTATTTAAAAATATTCAGCTCTTTTATAAGTCAGGAAATTAACTCTTGAATCAATAAATTATAACTCTTGGATGAGCAGAAAATAATTCATTCAAGAAATTTTACTCTCCGATGAAGCACTTTATTATATTATTTTCAAACAAGTTATCTGTATTAGGTAGATTTCATAAAATCTATCTATTGCATTGGCCCTTGTGTCAAAATTCACACAGAATTTCGTTACTATATCAATTATTTAGTCGAGTAAGGCTTAAAAATGACGTTGGTTTGGAAGTTTATGTATATATATATATATATATATATATTTATGTAATATAACGCACAGCTTGTGGACACGATAACTCCCACAATTCTTAATGAATCTTTATGAAATTTGGTAGACTATTCTATATTCAATTAGCTTGGATGAGTTCAAAAATGAGCTAAATCCCTCAAATAATTTAGAAATGGCAGCCAGAAATTTTCGAAAATCTAATAAATCACATGTTTGGTGACTTTACTAGGGAATAACTTTTTATTGAGAAATGATAGATCGTTTTTCTGCATTTTGTTTCAAAGCTTATGAAATTCTCTTTAATTCAACCTATAATAAATTTACTTTTCATCAATTACTCCATAAGTTTAAGAAGCTGAATGTCATCTGAATCAGTTTCAGACAAGCACACAACACAACGCGACTTGTGGACACGATTACTCCCACAATTCTTAATGAATCTTTATGAAATTTGGTAGACTTATTTTATATACAATTAGCTTGGATGAGTTCAAAAATGAGCTAAATCCCTCAAATAGTTTAGAAATGGCAGCCATTTGAAATTTTCGAAAATCTAATAAATCACTGTATTTTAAAATTTGGCAGTCGATTTACTTTTCTGATAAACGAGGAATAATAATTATTCATAATATCGTAATTAAAATCATGGATTATATGAAATCTACCTTCCATCTTGGCTGGTGCCAAATGGCCTTTTTTTTTTTAATGTTACATTTATTCTAATTAATTGTTTAATATTTGTACATTTTTTTTCCTATTCGGCATCGATAGAATAATTAAAATTAACATAAAAAAATTAACAATATTAAAATTTTTCGAACTTTTACAATTTTATCAAACTAACAAAGTTAAACTTAAGTGACCCAAAATTATGAAAATTTGAAAATTTTTAGTGTCGACCGATTTCTTTTCTTTTTGATGGTGAATATGAAAAAATATTATAAATGATCTCATCACTAGTTAATTGTTAATCGAACGTCAAAGTTTTTTTGGGGATCATAAGAAATTTTTAGATCATAAACAGAAAAAAAATTAGATTCTTTCGAGAAAAATTTTCTTAAACTAAAAAAATTCGTAGGAAGAAAGCCGATTTAATTGCTTCAAAAATTTGTTTCTTGGTTCTTCAATTCTTGATTTCAAATCTTTGTATGCTTGGTTTAAAAGTATATGCTTTTAACTCGATATAATCTAATTCTGAAACTAAGAAACATATTTTTTTGGTATAAATAAAAATTTCAACACCAAATGGCAAATTGGAAACAACAGCTGTACTCTCTTAAAAGAAATCAGTTGAATTTCACTGGTTGGAATCAGTGAAATTCCACTGATTCATTTTAAGAAAGTATAAATGTAGTGCATACATAAATACAATTTTTCATAAAAATAAAATCCAATATAGGGGAGCCTGGGGCACGACGGCCCCCTTAAGCTTTACAAAAAAAAACATCAATAAAAAAATTAATTAAAATAAAAATTATTTAAAAATGTTTTGCTAAAGCTGATGTAGAATTTTCTTCCACCATTATTTTAAGAAATTCTTCATATTGTGCTTCATCTAATTCAGTTAAACCCATGCTTAAACATACTGGAGGATCAGTAGCAGCTTCTTTTGGAGTGACGTATTTGCTTTAGAGTGATCTGATAGATTTCTTCATTTTAACTTTATCTTCATCTTTTTTTTTTTGTTTTTCTTCAACACATTTGTGTTCAAATAAAAGCTTCGTCTCATATTTTTCAAGAGCTGATTTATAAGGTGCATTTCAGGCACATTTCTTATCTGTACACGTAATATCTTTGAAATCTTCAAAGTTATTTCTGTAAGTACAGAATAATAGAATCAATAATTTAATAAATATTTAATAATTTTAGAGTTTATTGATTAACAAGAAAAAAAAGATAAAGTCATAATTACCGGTGACAAAATAAAAGTACTACCATAATATGTTTGCAAGTACTTCCCAATCCAGCCTTGCAAGAGTATTCCATACCAATTATTTTTCCGTTCTTTGAGAATTGAGCATTTATTTCATGAGGTTAATTTCTTAAACCAGCTGTTTGTAAGTAAAAAGCAAGGATATGATAAACATCACTGTCATCACTATGATTCACTTTCCCACAATTCAATAAATGACCACAATCAATAATATTTTCTCCATCAATAAAATTCTTACTAGCAGCTGTAGCTGAAGTAAATTTACAAATTTCTTGTAAGTTTACACGCATTTTTAATTAAATTTTGGTCACACGCAATTTTTAATTTAATTTTATATCCTATCTACACGTTTATTTACAAGCATCAGCTATATCCAGAATCCTACAATCGCTAGTTTATTTTTTAACCACCAGACGGCCAAAAATTAAGCCACGCCTCTCCCACGGATCCCTATAGATTATCTTATTCCCTTGACATATATTTTCCGACAATTGATTATTATAATCACGCGTAATTCTTGTAAAAATAATTTTTAGAGCTATTAAAAAAAATAACGCACGTAATAAGATAAAATTAACAAGATTAAATTAATGTGTTGTAATCCGAGGATTAATTCATGATTAAGGATCATGAAATAAGTTAATAGGTACTAGATTTTTATTTTACGCAACGTTTCGGAGTTTATTACTCCTTCCTCAGGCGTCTGTGGAAACATACAATATGGCTGATTGTTGACATTCGACTGATAGGTGGCTGTGTTTTTGACTAAAAAGTTTTTTTTTTTTTTTAAAAAT